TAATCGACCTCGAGACGACCGCTTGCTGGACCGATCGACTTCGCGGCGCGACGCGACGCCCAGGAAGACCGAAGACACTCGTTGACCCATTATAGCTCGCGGGATCCTGTTCTAATCGAAAACAGTGTCCTTGATAAGTCACGCCGGCTCAGCCCGAGCGACTGTAAAAGTGACGTCGGTGTTCTACTTAAAATTTCCATTTCGGTCGCCGGCGAACGTTATTTCGGGGGCAAGAGGTTTCCGACCTGACGGTTCCGGTGACACGAAAATACTACATTATTTTTAAAGTTTGCATTGCAGATGACTGGAACGGGATGTATCTCTTCTCGTGTCCTAATGAGGTTTGAAAGATATTAATGAGCATCAACATGTGATATCGTTTCATTACGTATGAAGTGTCAGGGAAATTTTAGATCAATTAAATTCGTGAACTGTAAAAAAAAAAGCGGGAATAGTAGTAAAAGATAAAATTATAACGAAAAAAAGAGGGAGAACGTCATATATATAAAAGACTTCAAAACTTGGAAACTTGGATCTTAAAACATAAGTATTAAAAAACAATGTATCTGGACATTATAGGTATTTTTTATAAAAATGTGAAGATTTTTACTGAAATACAGAATAAAAAATTCCTAAATATTTTATACAAATATTTCCTAAATATCACTCTTTGTACGATATTTTTTTCAAATATTATATTTGCAAGTGCAAGTCTAAAATAGTCTTTTTAAGAAAACCTCGTTAAGAAAAGAGATGAAAGATGGTTTAGTTACACACATGATTTTAGGCTTAATATAATCTGAAATATAAAATAAGAGGAAAAGAGTCGCATCATCTATAACTTGATATCACCGTGCAGTTTCCAGTCGTGGAACAAGCGACAACGGCCGTTTCGGGGTTCTCGGCATCTTGGACCGAAATCGGCCGGCGCGAGGGTGCAAAATGAGGGTGTAGGGAGCAGTTCACGGTTGACCGCACGCCCTTCCGTATGCAGGCGGCATTAGCCGCGTGTCGCGCGATTAAGGGAAGCTGACAGGTAAACCGGTGCTTAATGAACACGTCTCCGTTGTTCAGTATTACCACTGGCGAGCTGAGTGTTTATAAGGGAGGCGGCTACCTTTTCGGCCACCACAAGACGCACACGCATCATCGAGTAACAATCGCCGGCACGCGCTCACAGTGAGTACCATGCCGACCTTTTGCCACCTTTCGTATCGCACAAGAAGGGACGAATTTAGTACCGATGTGAGAAATGCACGCACGTGTACATACGCATGCAGGCATACTGCACTTCGGCCCGTTCAAATCGTAAATCAAATGATAAATACGCGATTCGGCCCGAGTTTCATACAAATAACCCGTGAAGCAGATCTCTATAAAAACATAGTTTCGGAATTATTTTTAACAAAAGTTATTTATTTTAACAAAAGTTTAATCTGAGAAAATTTAAAATATCCTTTTTAAATACGACCATGCTTTTCGCCATGATAAAATATGATACGCGATCACTCGTGTGACTAAGCTCAAAATTATGAATTTAAAACTCGTGCTCGCGTGTGATTCATGGAATTGACACAGCGGAATGTCATCTTCTGTTAATTGTCGAATTTAATAATTAGAAACTATATATATAATAATTAGAAACAATAATTTAATTTAATCTTGAATGCGGAATGCTAATTAGAATTTCGGTGTCGTTTATGTAACATCAGAAATTTTAAGACAAATATTATAATAAAGATTTATTTTTTCTTATAATGTCGTTATTCGCACGTGGACAGTTCATTTTTATTTCGTTCAACATATTCAACGTTTATGCTTCGATGTGTCGTAGTCTCTTACACGGATAAAAACACTCGTCGATGAATATTACAGTAGTTCGCCAACTTTTTCCGATATATTATGATACAAGCTACTCGCTCAGGCGGTAAATATTGTTCATCGCATCGTACGAGTTCTTGCAAACGAATATAAGAAGCAAAGAAAAGTACGAGGCTAATGTCACAAGTAAAAGCCAAAGCGTTAGCCTTTATCGATCACGATCGTTGACCGCGTCATATAAGGTGTCTCGATATTTTTTTTTTTCATTCCTTGCCATTAATCACGATTAATCAAGCATGCGAATGTTAAGCTTCTCTAATGTCATATATTTTGAGAGAGTTCTTAAGCAGTTCGTGCTATTATATCTGAGTTTATATATACTACGGCTTTGACGCGAATGTAAGAGTAAAAATAACAATAAAATAAAGATTGCCTATTTATTTCAGAGCGGAACATTAAACAAATCTATTTTATAAGTTTTCAAAACATCTCAATACAAAAGAGAAAAACGTTATCATTTCTTGTATGAAAAAATTTTATAAAAAAAATCGAATTAGCAAATTCTAAAAAATTTATAAATTAATAGCGAAACTGTATTAAAAAAACGGTTACATGTTTTTGACAATCATTCACCACGCAAGTCGTTCGAGATATGATTTTTTTAACACTTTGTTAAGATATTAATATACGGTGAATGAAACAGCCTAGAGTTATATTAGATAAGTGAGGGTGAAAAAGTGAAAGAGGTATGTGGACTCCACGGCGCCGCGGAAAAAACTTGAGTGTCGTGGATAAATCGGGGTGGCGAATGAGTAACGTCACGCGAGCCGGTGCGCTACCTGAAGATTCTTCGTATTACCGCAATGCCTTACGATTAACTTATCGTTAGATCACGTCCCTATACATCCGAGTTCATTTCTCGGAAAAAAGCTCGCGAAATGCTTTCCAACTTCTAAGTCTAATAAGCGCGGCTTTCCTCGAATCTTACGCCAACATGTTGCGCCACTCATTAATCGACAAAGTTTGATTTAAAACTCTCTCTGAATCTTTCTCGCAACATTTATTTTTTTTTTTATATATAGTATCGTTAACTGCATTCGAGAAATAATATTTATATAATCAGAGTAAAATAATAATAAAATTTGATGTTATTTTATTTATTTTCTCTCTTTCTCTTTCTCACGTTTTCATATTGTAAGAAAATTAAATATAAAAAAATTCAAAAATTGATCACATTGCAGATTATTAAGATACAAATTCGTCAAGCGTGAGGAAGATCGCGTTTCAAAGATTCGCAAGATTTTTACTTCCGCGCCAGAAAATTGTTGTTTTCTGATCACGTGCCCAGTAATAGGTCCCATTAGGGCTAGCCGATAGAAGTAGGACAGCAAGTACTTTCTGCTCACGAGGACAATTGCTCGCATATAGTGTACAGTTCCGACTCAATTGCAGGACTTGTGATCGTTTAAGAGGAGGGCAGCATCTGCCTGGCACTCGAGATCGTTATCAGTGGTAGAGCTTTAAGAAGCGCGGTTGCTAAGTGTCGAAAGATTTCACACGCTTCAAAAGCTCTCGACCACTTCCAAACTCTCGCGTATCCATACAAGGCAATCATTCGAATCTTATAAATTACCGTATATTATAGAGACTATTATTATTATTTCGTTCGTATGTTCGTATTTTACAGTCGTAAAATATGAACATAAGCCGATCATCTATCGCAAATTAAGTTACAGAACAAATAAGTTTGCGTACGAAAATAAATCTTACTTCTCAATCTTACTTCTCATTTTATCGCAAGTAGATTTCGTCTTAACGAAATCTACATTTCGCAATTGCAGAAATGCTTGTGCTTGTAGCTCGGAATTGAGCACGTTCTCGCGACTTAACAATTATGCAAAAGGTGCAAGTATTTACGCGCGCAAAAACTTACGTGATCTCGCGCTACGCGAGAACAATGCGGCAAACGCAGATATCTCCGCTCGCTTATGCGACAGACCACAGGATACCATCGCGATCGTACTCGAGGAAAGTGTGCCGAGAGTACATCCGTACGATCTGGTTGTAGCACACGTTCGCAGACAACTGTCCAGACCGCCAATTGGCCGTCTGCGGCGGCTGGAAGAATGCGAGACAAAAAAGAACGAGAAACTCTGTCGGCCGACCGTCGTATCCTGCATGTCTCCACACCTCGTGCACGACCTCCAGATGGAGGTCATTCAATTTGGTAGCGATCGTTCGCAGACCTCGTCGTCGGGGCACACTCGCGATCCGCCGCCGGAGAAAGGGAGACCGGCGGGTAAGATGGAGAGGCGCGCGGACCGGGCGGCAGAATTAATTCGTATGGACGGCATGCGAGTGTAATAATATCGAATGAGTCGGTCAAGCCGGCGTTTAATATGGAAATTTCACTTCGCGAACGTACTTTCGATCTGACTTCACGGCTTCCAATTTTTTACCAAAACGGTAGATCGATCGCGACTCATTCACCTGTCGCAGTCTATTCACCTGTATTTTAATAGCAATAACTTCGATATCTTTGCGGAAAAAAAATCTTACGAAGATACTCTTATCGCGTAATTTAACGGACTGTTTATTCTTTAATCAATATCTCGGCGAAAACACGTATAATTATATGTTAAAATTAATTTTCATATCATGCTATTTCAGAAAAATGTAAAGTGGAGTTATAATATAATTTTTTTATTTTTATCCAAATATAAGTCTCGTGAAAAAAATTCATGATTATCTTTTATGCTTTTATGATTAGCTTTTATGTACTATTAATGAACTTGACGTTTTTACCGAGTAAAAGATATATATATATATATATAAAATTTTCTTACAGAACGTGTTCGTGTTATACATTATCACGTACATTCCTTTCACTCGTCTTTCTATAGAACAATAAAAAAGAAACGTCAATTATGCTTTAAGTTATAATTTGCGCGAACAAGTTACACGTTTGATCTCCAAGCACCCATATCGACCAATTACCGGTCGAACGACTGGTGTGAGACGATTTGCACTCGATCTTCGGCACAGAGAAGACACGTCGCTTTTCTTGGGACCGATTACTTCCCTCACTCGTCGCCCTCCCTCCCTCCTTGATCTGTTTACTTTCTTCGTCGCTATCCCCCGACCAGACTTTAAATAAGGGGCAGCAAGCATGGGAGAGAAAGAAAGAGAGAGTACAAGCCACCTTACGCTAGTTCGTCAGCGACCTTCTGTCGAGACGGAGTACCGAACCTCTCCGGGGACAGGTCTTCGTGACAATTGCGGTCAATCAGGCTGGCATTGTCACAAACGTGACCGCACATTACCAGTCGGAAGAGCCTGAGACGCTCGTCGGCGATCGAGCGGTCGAGACGTGCCTCGTCGGAGAGAGAAGCGTCGGATCTGCGCTCGCGATCGTCACCGATTACCACCCGCCGACTTTCTCCACAAGCTGTAACAGCCAACGACTCGACGAAACCCGAGGCATAATAAAATCAAGATCGAGTCAAAATCGAGCGAGATATTCGAGGATCTCATTAAGGATAAGCGTGCAACTGCATCGACGAAACGCCTTTGTCAGAGAGAAAAAGAGTCCCGGGGGGACCAAGTACACGACTGTGATTCTAAATCTAAGGCAACGAGCTAGGAATATTAATCGCTGTGCTCCGTGTCGCTTCACCGCCGAGACAAGCCTGCGGATGTTCCGGAGAATCAAAGAATCCCGGCCGCGATCGATCAAACGTTAACATTACGTTTCGGGACTGCTTTTCGGACAGGTGGAGAAAAACGAGAGAGAACTCGCGCGAGAGGTGCTCGTGGTCGCCCGGCATCAATGCATCCCAGTTGGAGACAGTTGGAAGGGTTGATCGTGCCGGGAAATCAACGTTGCCTCGAGACGGTGGCCCGATATCGTCTACAAAGTATTTCATGATCGTTTACCCATGAAAAATACCAGCCTCGCCATCGTCGTAATCACGTTCCACCTGTTGTGCCCGCGACAACGTTCGGCGTCGTCGTCCGAGAAAAAGTGCCAGACTGTGATATTACCCCGTGTGATAGAGAAATCGCCTTGTGATCCCACGTTTTACCTCAACGTTACTCAGTAAGTCGCACTCCCTACCCGCCTCCTTGTCTTTAATGCCATTCTTATCGGATTTGTGCCCTCCACTGCATAAAAACTAATTATAATACGAGGGAGAATATACTCTTCCGTGAGCTCGAAATAGATCCGTTCGATATGTTCGCTCTCTCTTTCTCCCTTTCTTTTTTTTTTCGCCGCTCGATTCAATCCGTACTTAATTTTTCATTAGCTCGGGATAAAAGAGAGAACAACACCATTTCCATTTTGGGCGTTTCCCATTAAATGATAATTTATTCGATCTCTGAACTGATTTTAATTATATTTTGTCTAAGAGAAAAAAAAAGTTTTTATCCGCGCAAGAAAGTTTCACTCTGTGATTAACTTTGGTAAATATCCAACATTCTTGCCAAATATCACATTAAATGCATATAATAAATACAATATCACATGTATTTTAATTTGATATTGGCTTGATATTTATTAAAAAAGCAGTCAAGTTTGTCAGCTCTCTCAAGCTGAATGATAACAAAATTGAATAAGTACAAAATATTTCAGCTTAATATATAATTCGACCTTATCGTAATATCGTTATCTTCGAAGATTCATTACAATTTTAAATCCAAATTTACTTCGTTACTTCAAAGCAGAATCGTCGCGCGAGAAAGAGGAGCAGAAAGAGAAAGAAGGAGAGAGTCGATTATCTCGAATCTCCAATTATTCGAGGACAACGGCTGACACTAATTCTAGTCACGCATGGCTGCCTCAAGTGCTATGCGAGTCCTCCTCAAATTGACGCATATGAGCGTAGCACGCTTGGTGCTCGTGCACCGTGCAATTGTATTATTAAAGAGTGCATCTGCCTCTTGAAGTCTCATTTGTCCAAGCCATTTCTTCAAATTATACGTTAGCCCGATGACGCAGCCAATTAATGACCATAGGATATCGTTAAACTTAAAACATTCCCTATAATTTTGATAGATCACTATCGATCATTAATTGCAATTCGTATCGAGGATACAAGACATATCGGATGCATCTTTTTATTACTCGTACTTCCCGCTCCATATATAATTTATAACGCACTGTCATTATTCTCGATATTTTCTACTCAATTGCGTAATGTTCCATGTACGAAGTATACTTAAAGTTACTTAAAGTTACAGTATAGCGATGTCTCGATATTTTCATTTCGTAATCCGAAGCAATTTCCGGTTTTCATTTTTAACGACAAGCCTGTTATTAGTTATCAAACGGTAAATGTTAACATTTCCTCTCGAAGACTTATTCTCTCGAGACCTATATTTACCTTCACTTTGCAATCGTTATTATGATCATTGGATCAATTTCTGGACGACGCGTCACCCAGAGATACAATGTAGTTCTCTTCATTCAGGAAATCGCACAATTTCAATGAGACTAAATTAAGGTGCATCTTTATCGCTTTGTGACTCACAGCAGAACAATGCTGTATTCTTCGTGTTTTCACAATTTTTTTTCCCTCGAATGTCTATTTCGAGAAACCCTATAAGATAAGAGAACTTTTTATAGTGAACAATAATAAAAAGTTGTTCACAAACTTTCACAAAATAATGAAATAAAATACATAAAAATAATAATGAAAAAGTAATAAAAGTAAAATACAATGAATAATGAGACAGTTACCGATGGCTAGAATTATGATATTTATCTTTATTAAATATAATCATTTAGCTAATAAATTATATAACAAATAAAAACAAATAAAAAGCTAATTACACGGAATTATGCGTATCAATAATTACAATTATTCGCGGTATCATCGGATCGTTTTGATTAAATTTTTGCAAAGTCGATCGAACTCCGCGCAGCTTCGCGAGAGACAGAAAATCCGTGCGAAATCTCGAGGTAAATTAGAATCCCGGAAGAGCGAATTTTCCGCTCGCACCTGCCTGTCCGTTTGTAGAAAATGGAAAAGTTTTCTGGCTCTTTTGCGTAACGCGATTGCGCTCCAATCGGAAAAGTCGATCACCCCTGGCCGGTTCGCACTCGATCGGACGTAAGTGCGCTCCCTCAAGCGCGTATTAGTATCTTTCCGAGTGTTATATACACGTGTTTATTACTCGTGTCTGCCGGCGGTACTTCGCAGATAATACCAAGAGAAAAGACGAGGACAAAAATAGAAATGCGCCGGTCTTGCAAGAGAGAGTAGGAACGCGAGGGAGAGAACGAGAGCGAAAGAGAATGGCCCGAGGGGGTGGCGGCGCGGCGAGAGGGGGGAGAAAGGGAGGGCGCGATCAAGACGACGTTCCGGAACGAGTCCTCTTTTCAATTTAATGGGACTTTTCGCTATCGTGAAATGCGTCTCTTTTCAAGAGAGCGCCGGGATGATCTATGTAGTTCGGTCCTGTTTACAATCGTTGAAGAGGCGCCGGACGCGAGAAGCCAATGAACGGCATAATACGCGTATACGTTATCGACACGGTAAAATTGTTGTTCGGTCTCATTTTATGCAGAATTTGAAACAAAGTACGTAGAACAGATAGAGCAGTATCTCACTTTGCGCGCGCAAAATATGAAGTGACGCGCAGTCACAAGAAATCAACGCGCTCTTCTTCGATCGGATTAAAATTACGATACTTTTTTAAATGCCCACGCTACGGTACGCGCTAATATCGTGTTTCGGCAATCTCTTCGTTTCATTTTATTTCTCTTCATTGCGAGAGTTTTATTTCTCTTCATTTCTCTCTCTTCATTTCTCGTCATTCCGAATTAGAGGGAAACCTTTGGAAATCGCGAATGCATCGGAAATGCATCGTTCAGATCGCGTTATACGTTTTTATAGAACAGAACAGTGAAATATCCTCGCATCTATTACGTTCGGACATCTCGATTTTCGCCGGTGAATCTCGCTCGTTTCTGTCCTTTTTTTTATTTTGCTTGTGCACGCGGCATGCCGGTGGCATGCGATCACGCTTATCATTTTCGCGAGATATCGCGAGTTTGTTCTCTCTCGGCTGTTTGCGTCCGCACTCGCAAATATAGATACATTTATTTACCTCATCGGGATTTTATTTTTGTCAGCCGTCAGGCGCGCTTTCTTTTCGCGATCAAAATGAAAGGAGGAATTCAATGGATATTTAAAAACACCCGTGCACACTCTCAATTCTGATCTCTCAAATAGCACTGTGAAAAAAAATATTAAATATATTGTGTTTCTAATGATCGATTGATCGATCGATCAATTGATTTAAAAAAACGATGCTGTCATCGATCCGCATCAACTAATGATTCGATCTGTTGAACGTATGTAGAAGGTACGACAGAAACTCTTTAAGGATTACAAGTGTTGTACGCGTGTTTTCACCATCGTGCTGCCATTAATCGCACGAGAAAGATAAATAGGGTTAGATAATTTCGACATCAACACGCACCGTTTTCTTTCAGTTATTGCTTAGTGTTGAACGCTAATTCCCATCGCGCCGCGATGCGCCGGAAATAGAAGTGCCCTATATTCGCGTAACTTGTTTTGAAGGGGGCAAGTCAATGTGTGTCTGTCGCGACGCGACAATGACTCTGGTACGTGTCTACCTAATGATATTGCATATGCCAATCGATCGTGAATAAGTTCCATCAACCTTGAAACGTCAAAATAACACGCCTCACATATTCGACGAAAATTTAAATTGAAACTCGAGCCGACACAATTGAAAATAATATCTGCGTGGAGATTAATATTTCATCAAAATTAACTGATCAAAATTAACGAAATATGTTTCGAATCGTATCTTCTCTTTAAAAATATCGGGATTATAACTATCGAGTTTATAACGAGATTATAACAATCGGAAATGAAGGGCATTTCGTAAAGTAAGCCTCGGAGAATAATACAGTATTATTCGTCACGATATAAAGTATATTTTTATTAAATATCAAATATTAAATATCGCGAAAAATAAAAGTTTTTCTTGATATATTTTATTTATCTTAAATTCTGAGAAGACTAACATATACAGACACGGACAATTTCTCAACTCAATTCTTTTCCATATGCTTCTCGTTATTATATATTATTTTCTTAAACTTATCACATATCGATAGTATTCTAAACATTTTCAGATAAAAATAAAATTGTCGCTTTGTGAAATTATACCATAGCTCCGCATACAATCATGTATCAAGGCCGCTGGCGTTATTTCCATTTTCGTTGATAACGCGACTAATCGAAAGCGACGTAGCCTGCAAAACAAGTCAACATTGTTCTAATCCGATCACAGACACCCAAGCAAAATAAGATAATACCCTAAAAACCATAGAGAGGCATATCTGCTGTCTCTCTGTGCACTGAAAAATTTACTTCATTAAAATTGCGCCACATTTACAATCATTCGTATTCGGTACAACGTCGGTCTTGCGAATGTAACCGAGAGTTTCTTCAGCGGGGTACGGATTCGGACGACTTCAAAGTTGTCTGAAGATGCACCGAACGGTCGTCGCAGGTGCAACTGTTCTAAAATATCGAGGACTTCTCTGTGCCAGCTTCTCGTTTGCTCGTCAAGTAGATTGCAATTATGCTCGCGCAAACTTTACGAACAAAGGTCGCTCCTATGGATAAAGCGCGAGAAGCGCCTTCTCTTTCTCTTGTTCCGTCGGAGACAGTCCCGTCGCGACGTGCCGCCGTCGATTACACGGCACTCGCGGACGAAAGTACGCGTCCTCTCCCTCTTCTCTTTCTCTCCCTTGCCATTGCGAGATTTATATTTATAAGTGAAAGATATCTAAAAATAGAGGCACCCTGCGCGACCGCTGGAATGCCGCGCGCCGTCGCGGTTATATGCGTTATACGCGCGCGTTTAATTAATCCTGATAAAGGCAGGCAGGCAGGCAGCACCGAGTTTCCCCGAGACGAGGTCTATTCGCAGATGATGCAGATTTCTACGCGTAAATGTTACCACCGTTACCTAAATAAACGGTTAAGAAAAAATATGTCCGGACGCACGCGGATATCTGTCAGCGTCGAATAAAGTCCAAACGTTGAATACCGACCGGTATAATGAATCATTATTTTAGTAAACAATTTGTTCGGCCTGTTGTTCCAGATAACTTCATTTTTATACGTACTCGAAGGCTACGTGATGACACCGATAGATGAGATCGCCGCATTTTTTATTTCTATTCATTTCTGATGGACACGCGGATCCTTATAATTTTTTCTTATCTTCTTTTTAAAGCTATTAAAGCCTTTGGTATGTAAAAAAAAATTTTGAAAAATCAAATTTTGAACGAACAAGATATTAAAGCCTAAAGTCGTTCATTTCGGCGAATTTTTATCTGCTTTTTAGCTTACAGAAATTCAAACTCTGATTTTCGAAAGCGCTTTGCGGTCTAATCGTTAAGTTAAAGTGAATAAAGATTAGAGAGATGAACGAATCCGATCCCACGGAACGTAATTAAACGAGAACTATATCACTTTCAGATGTCTGCGAATCGATTGAACGTGCTGGTGATCTTGATGCTGGCCGTCGCGGTTCTTGCGACGGAATCAGGAAATGCACAAATGGATGGTTATCCCTCTCAATACCCTCAAAATCCCTCATACAATCCTTCATACAACCCTTCATACTCATACAACCCTCCGAAACAACAACCCCCCCCCGTGAATGCGCCGCAGAAATATTGCGGCAAAAAGCTGTCCAATGCTCTACAGATAATCTGTGATGGCGTGTATAATTCCATGTTTAAGAAGAGTGGTCAAGGTGAGTTTTAGCTAATCGTTAAGGGAAATGTTCTTATCGGTCGTTTCTAACATCAGTACCAAATGAGAGATATTAAATCATTAAGAGAGAGTGGATAAAATTCATGCCTATTTCTCTTTTTCTTTTTCTGCGATAATCTGTGATAATGTTGGATAATTATGTTTCTAAA